TCCCTAACTCTATACCCTGCCTCCAGCCTTTTGCACTTTTTGATAGTCTGACCCACCAAGAAGACTGCATGAAGGCAAGAGTCTTGTCTGTTACATGAAATACATAATTACGTCTTGTTTGTACATTTTGTCCTGCACAAGTCTTTAATGTTTGATTTATCCATTTAAAAAAGATAAACATAAAACTAATTCTTGAGCTTTACAAGACTTTGAAGAATTTTCCAACTTGCCTATGTGGTTTCATATTCCCATCTATTTTAACAGAAGCGCCATCTATTACTGCCTGAAAAGTCACTGTGTAGTTCTGTCTTACAGGAAGCTGGAAAGATAAAGACTGGCACCAAGGCTCAGGGTTGAGGGGGACACAATGGGGAACATGTTTGAGTTTTCACACCAGCTTCTTGAGGATTATTGCTGTGAAGCGGTGGGTACAGAAGAAACCAACCTCAGCCAGAAATCAAAATTTGATGATGTGAGAATTCAAAGCTATTCCCTCCAGGCAGGCAACAATTTTTAATATGTGTTTTGTTTCCTACAATCGTTTTAAGGAAGGTTTTCTTCCCTCTGCTCTGAACTGTAATGTCTAGAAACATGCTGACAAGATGCACATGTGTCTTTTCTTGAGTAGCAATTACAACTGTTCCTTGATTAACTGAGCAGTAAAACAGACTGACCCTTCGAAACGTATTATTAATACTTCCCCTTCTATTAGCAACCCTCACACCTCAAATAAGCCTCATGGGCAGGATACCACACACAGAGGGTCCTTTCCTAATAACTATCCTTGGTGGGCCCTATTAATTGTATGAAAAACAGCAATAACAAAAGAATGCCTCTAAGTTATATCCTATGCAATATATAGTTAATCTTATACCTTAGCTACAATGCATGTGAAATCCCAGTGGGTTAAACGAATATTTATGTTTTCTCAAAGATAGTCACTAATGCTTATAAGGGAAAATCAGTCTCATGCTGGGGATCAAAATGGAAAGACACCACCCACCCACAGGAAGGAAGCACGTACCCCTTTAACATTAGCAGCATCACTGGCGAGCCTGGTGGTCAACGCGCCAGTGCTATTTTTATGATCATCAAACCAGCTTATATCCTGTAACATAAAAGGTAATTTTTTAATCAGAATGCTCTATTTAAGAAACTCCTAGATATAGGAGAACATGTCAGCATCAGCTATCACATATCCCCTGCATTTAATATTCAAAATTTAATGTTTAATAGACAGAAGAGAGTTCCTATACAAATATGTAACTGGACTATTTGTTAATTTACATAAAAATGTCTACTTGTCTCCAGCAGAACTCTAAGTATTAAATTGTGAAGAGTAACATGTCACTATCATCATACAGCCTTAACTCAAGAGAGAGAAGGCACAGGTAAACAAATTCACACTGTCTTGACAGTTATTAACACTCTGGACAAAAACCTATCAAAGAAGGACAAAGAAGTAAGGGACAAGGTAGAGAAGGAGCAGAGAAGGACTTTGTAAAGGGATGTGTGAGCAGACATGCAAATGAAGGAAGAAATGAGAGCCTCTAAGAGAGAGAAGATGTACCACTTGCAAAGACCCGTGCCAAGGCACACTCAATCTTAACTAAAGCTAGCAGGCTGTGGTAGCCTAAACAAACAAACAAATAAACAACAAACCCACTGTGTTTATCTCTAAATCTGCCTCTTCCTCTGGATCCTTTTGTCCTACTGGGTTCCCCTGAACCTTCCACAACTGTTGTTGAAGTTACCTACGGTGTCTTGAAGACACCATGTGCTGGACGGGGGTACCACTGCAGATGCCCTCTGTGAGGCGGATGGGAGATGTACATGTGCATGGCCTTTGGCAACTGTGGAGACTATGGCTTTTTCCCTGATGGACACATACCGCCTCCAGATTGGGATGAGGTTGGAGGTAATGAGACCAGCTAGGAGGCTGATGAACAAGTGGAGCAGAGGTGAACATATGAATCAGAAGGGGAGTTCTTAGGTTTCGGTCTGAACCTCTGCAGGCTCTACTCTCATGTGAACATTATCCCACTCCCAATAGACACAGAAGTTAAAACAATAAATAAATCTTAAAACACCAATGAAATAACAGCCCAGGAGAAGTTACTGTCCTGTGGAACACTGATGCTTCTGAGCTGGGTTCAAGTGTCTCCAGCTTGCCTGGGCTAGGATGCTTGAACATTCAGTGATCATAAAAGGTTTAAAGTCATATGTGAATTTCTCACAATTGATAAAAAAAAAAAAAAAAAATCTTCCTTCTTTCAACTGGGCTGTCCTGGAATCCCTTTCCCAAATCCCACTTCTCCTTTAAGGAAAACATCCTCACTGTCTGTTTGGAGAGTCTTGAAGGTGCACACTGTGAGATGCACTCTGTCCTGTTAAGTCAGGGAGCTTACATCGCATGGAGAGCAAAGAAACTAGGCAGTGAGGGATGGCGAGTCACGGCGATGACCTTGGGTTTGTGGAATGAGAGGCATGGAGGGTATCTCCTGAGGGCAAGAGTCATGACCTGGCATCCCAGCTTCACAGAAGAAGTAAGGAAGAGTGGGGAATGAGGGCTACTGAAGATCACTTTGGCTTCTGTGGTCTTTCAGTGCTGGACCAAAAGGCTGGAGGAGAATCTATTCTGAAGACTCTATTTGTCTCATCAGTCTGGTTCCTTGTGCCCACCTGCAGCAAACAGACTGCCGGTCCACAGCCTACATCTATCTACAGATGGCTCACCAACATCTCAAGAGGAGGCTGAGGAGACCCGTGCAGCCTACATCTACAGATGGCTCACCAACATCCCAAGAGGAGGCTGAGGAGACCCGTGCAGGATCTCTATCTAAGGAACTTGACAGAGCTTTTACAGTCTGTGTCCACAGAGCACAAGAGAGAAGTCCTACCTCCCCTCCCCGGGTGCAAGCTCACCAGCCGTACCTGTCTCAGCATGGATTTGAAAACCATGTATCGCAGTCGCTTGGTGAGGATCTCTCCGGCTTTGCCAAATGTGAAGCCCTGTGAAGAACGAGAATGCGTCACACAGAAGGCTGGCCGGAGACTCAGACACCAGCTACACAGCGGGATCAATGCTGTTGCGGGGCCAGGATGAACGTGGAGTCACAAAGCCCCATTCCTGGGTGTGCTGTATTGCTGTGACTCTACCCAGGAGCCAGCGATGTAGCTGCAGTGGGAAGGCTAGCAGAGGCCAGTTTAGACAGTAACCCATGGCTGCCAGTCAGCAACAAGGTGTCCGGAGGGCTACCACAAATGCGTTTACGCACCCCACCCACCCCATCCTCGAGGAACAACAGCAAGCACTTAGAAAGCTGGAGCACTCTACACAAGCTGTAAACAAAATTTACTATCTAACTGGAACATTTGTGAGACAAGAAAGATGTGCACTGCTCATGACTGCACAAGAAGCTAAGGGGAAATCTGGGAAAAAGAAATTACAGTCGCTTGTACATGAAGGAGGCAGAGAACAGTCTTAGCCTACAAACTGAAAAAGCCAAACTTTGGGACCAAAACAGATCAAGGAAGGTGGCTCACCAAGAGAAAGTCTTTCGCACTCTACCTCCCCATCCTTCAAGGCTACGCACTTCAATGTCTGAAGGAGGGGCAGAGTAACCAGGAAAGAACAGTAAGACGTGAGTGGGCCACCATGCCAGGCCACATCTGGGAAAGGAGGTCAACCACGTCCTCGATAGGATGACCATGGGGACAAAGGAAGCAGCAGTATTCCCCCTTCCACCTGAAACTGGTAACCACAGCTGAGACACAGAAAAGCCGTATGGGAAAGGCTATGTGGTACAACAAAAAGGGGAGTCCTAACTCCATCCCTGTAACCTCTGTGGCATCAGGAAATGGAAAAGGGCAGCCATATATTCTTCTGTGCTCCCAAGTTGTGCTCTGGGTGTTACTGAAAGAAGGGGGGCTATGTAAGTAATGTCAGACGGGAACACAAACAGGTTTCTGCTGTTGGACCAAATGACATGTGAAAGGTCTTCCTCACTTTGACCTTGCTAGACTAGATGGGCTGCTTACTACCTGCCTGCAGTGTGCCACAGGGAGCCGGTCACTGTTGTTTTAGCTGAGAGCTATCTTCTGTCACACGGTGGGCTACATGATGACCTCATAACCCTATAACCATCATGCTTAAAACCAAACTGGGGGTTGAATAGTTGACAGGTTTCCAGAGGCCACAGCTCAACAGTGGCGTAATTGGGGTCTACACCAAGGTATGCAAATTCCTGAGCAGGATGGGACCCAGTCTGACCTCCCGCCCCTCACTCATGTCCCTGCCCATTTCTCAGATGAGCAGCTGGGCATATTCCACCTTTCCATCATGGACTGTGCTAAGTCGTTCTGAAGTTCCCCGGCTGTCTCTCAGTGTGATTTGGCAGTCTTGCCAAGCTGAGTTTGAACTCGGTTTCTCTAACAAAGCCAGACTGTGAGGAAATAGCTGTCTCTCCTCAAGCTTCACCATTCCAACTGCCAAAGCAGGAATGACCAGCTCAAAGCCGCCTTCCTCCCAATCTCCTGCCTACTCCACATGGAGCAACCGAACCTTCTCCAAACATGTGAGACCCACCCTCTTGCTGGTAGGCAGTGTCTCATTTATTCTAGCAAGGTGTAGTTCTACAATCTTATAAGCATTTAGTCAAAAAACTCTTTTATTCATTTTTTCCCTCCACAGTGCTCAGGAATGGCGTCTTGTCTAAGAAAATACTAATACATGTCTAGAATGCATTAACTAGGGCTGGAGAGATGGCCCAGCAGTTAAGGGCACTGGCTGCTCTTCCAGAGGACCCAGGTTCTGTTCCCAGCACCCACATGGTGGTTTACAACCATCTGCAACTCCAGTTCCAGGGGACTGATGTCCCTCTTCTGGCTTCCACTGGTACCAGGCATGCACATGGTGCACAGACATGCATGCAGACAAAACACTCTTACACATAAAATAAAATTTTAAATTAAAAAATGTATTAAAGAAATATTCAGAGTTTCAGCTAAAAGATTCCATGTGGTTAATCACTGATTCATTCAATAGGAGGTTACTTCCCAGTGCCTCGTAGATCTAGGCTTTCTTACTTGGTCACAAGTTCTCTCAGTCATCCTGAGGTAACCTTTCCCATATGTTAGAGAAAGGAAGCTCAGGCAAAGGCAGCTAACATGGCCAATTGTTCCACAGACACGTAATTGGCTGTGTGTAAATGACAGGAAGATCTAGGCCTCACCCCAGAGTTCACACTGCATGCCTTTCCAAACAATAGCAACTGAATTTGAGTCATATGATTTTCAACCTACAAAAAGTGTTAAAGATGTAAGTGCTTCTCTCCTTTTACTGATTGGCATTCTCCTATCATTGACAGGGTTCTTTCTGCTGGGTGTGGTGGGTGGCACACGCTTCTAATCCTAGCACTCAGGAGGCAGAGGCAGGCTGATCTCTGTGAGTTTAAAGCCAGCCTAGTCTGCAAAAGTGAGTTCCAGGACAGCTAGTGCTGTTACATGGAGAAATCTTGTCTCAAAACCAATAAAAAAAAGAAAGGAAGGAAGGGAAGGAGGGAGGGAAGGAGGAAGGGAGAGGGAGAGAGAGAGAGAGAGAGAGAGAGAGAGAGAGAATGCTTTGTAGCAAGAGCATAGTGACAAACACAAACGTCTAAATTAGTTTTTAAATTAGTGTGATAACACTTGCAGAGTTCTCTTAGTTTCTCCTCCTCTCTCTTTTTTTCAAATATAGAAACACATTTCTCTCAGTACTAAATAGACCAGCGATACTTAGCTCCAAACTTACCCTGGGCTTCCGTTCTGATGTCTCCATCTTTGTTATAGCACACTGAACATCCCTTTACTCTGATTAGGTCGAGGGTTGTGTTTGGGGAAAGGGTAGAGAAGAGGAGGAAAGCAAGAGGCGGCAGAACCGTAAGACTATTACAGCCCAGGTCATGAAGGAGGAATCACACAAACATGAAAATGAAATACTTGTTTGCAAAACCTTCAGAAATGATGTAGACACTTACCTGTAAGAAATATGTAACAAACGAAATCATTCCTAGGACCAGAAAAAGCAGGGAAAACAAATTACAGTTCTGTTGTTTGGTTTCAGGATCATCATCTCTTGTAAAGACCTGTGAGAAAGTATTTGAGGGGTTGTTAGTTCTATGGGTGAGAAAGGTATTCCTCATGGCGCCCACTCCCCATCTCACGCAGTCGGGAGGACAAGACAGACTTTGTATACTGGAACAAGGTTGGTTTCCAGAATGCTGACCTCTAAGGCATCTGTATTCTGCCTTCCCTCTAGACAAAGGGTGTCTGCCATTCACAGATTCACCCAACAATATTAGGGGGGTTCCATATAGATTAATGCATGCCGCCCTACTATGGAATACATTGCAATAAATTCTCTCCACTTGGAATCTTGGCAAGGAGTAATACTGTTCAACAACTCATTGTTTTACTCTGTAAAGATTTCAAAGTGTTCCAAGCTGTCTGGGTTGACTATTTGGGATTGGATAACCTATCAGGGAGCTCATCCCTAAAGCAAATGGAGTCTCCATCTCTCAGAGGCATCGATTATGGCCCTTGTGAAATGTCACCCGCTCACTTTGGCATGATGACTGGTTTGTCATTACATGGCTCTTGTAAAGGCGATTTTGTTGTCACAATTTCCTGGGTGCGACTCCCGTGTCATTGAGCAGCAGCTGTCCTGGTTCTCTGGCTCTTACACTCTCTGCCCCCAAAGGACAGCTCACTTTGTCAACTGTCTTTGATCCCTATTTCTGTGTGTTTTACCACTAAATGGACTCAGTAGGGTGTGTGTGTGTAACAATAATAATTATAAAAGAGTGGATGAATTTGAGAGGGGGTGGGGAGTAAACCTAAGGAGTTGGAGGGGGTAAAAGAAGATTAAAATGATGTAAATACAGTACTCTCATATGAAAAAAAAATTAAGAGCTTAAATAAAAAAATATGTTTCCTCTTACAAATCATACTTCTATTCTCCTATCTTCAAGCCATGTGAAGAGTCATGTTTTTCTGGTTTATTGTTAATGGTACAAATAGAAGCAACTCATTCACTCTTCGTTAGTAAACACAAACAAATACTCAGAAAGGACACCAACACTTACCCCTATAATCCTTGAAAATATTACGGAGGACGCTGGTTGCATGCATCCATTTACAACAGCACAAAGCACACCAATGACCAAGTAAGGCCATTCAGTTATGTTTAGTTTTAGGATCCGGCCAAACGAAACTAGAGACACGTCTTCCTCCTAGAAAACACATCCATTACAATGAGATAGTTTACAAAATTGATAATGTGGGGGCCAGAGAAACATCTCAGCAGCTGAGAGCACTTGCTGATCTCCTGGGGGACCCATGTTCTAGTCCCAGCACCCATAAGGCAATTCATAGATATCTGTAAGTCTAGTTCTAGGGGATCTGATTCTGGCCTTTAACGGTATGGCACACACACGGTACACAGGCATCCATGCAGACAAAACACTCATACACATAGAAGTATTATTTAAAAATTGATAATTAGGTTTATCATCTATAGCTCCATCCATCCATATTATCATTAATGAATATAACATGATTCCTTATTGACTGGCAGTATTCTTTCTGAAGCTAACTCTGACAGTTTCATTTAAAAAACAACAACAACAACAAAAAAAAAACTAATGATGTTGTTACCAATACTCTTGGCCTAGACTTCACAAGACAAGAATATTTATAATTGGGAACGAACAATAAAACATTGAATATTGGCAGATCCACCGGAGTCTCACTCCTTTTAAAAATCATTAAACTGTCCTAACACATAATAATTCTGATATTATGGACATCTGAGGTTATAAAGAATATGTGCTTTTAACTCTCATAAGCCTAGTCTTGGTTGGCTATATGTTTATTTACATATATTACGTCTGGACCAGCTCCATCCATCTGCATAGACTCTTCACATACATTGAGTACAAGGGCATACAGGCATACAGACAGGGCTGCATCCCATTTGCTTTAGTAGATAGTAAAATGAGGGGTGGGAGATGTAGCTCATCGGTAAGGTGCCCAACTGAAATGTATGAAGCCCTAGCACCACAAAAACAAAACAAGACAGCACGATTTTACTAAGGACTTAAGATTTGTTCATCATTCCTGACTTTAGGAATTCCTGACAGTGACGGCTAATATCGTCAATTTAACAGGACCCAGAATAACCAAGGAGATACGCCTCAGAGCACAATTGCAAGGGCGATCCAGATCCAGACCTGCTTAACTGTCCTGAGAAGACCTAACTCTGGGGCTGAGCCAAAGGGCAGAGAACCGAACACAAGCACATCACTCTCTGCTTCCATCTTAAGCCCACCACGATGAACTTTACCCTCAAACTGTGAGATACAATACACCCTTCCTTCCTCCCTGAAGTTGCCTCAGGTGGGTATTGTGCCACAGCAAGGCCGTTAATAATATAGACCACTATTGTGGAATATTAGTTTAAGATGTGTTACATTCATTTATGCTGTGGAACATTTTGTTTAATGATGCAAAGATGTGTTGTATTTTTTATGTTGCATTTGTTTAACTCTGTGAAGCTGTGTTACTTTGCCTGTCTAAAACACCTGATTGGTCTAATAAAGAGCTGAACAGCCAACAGCGAGGCAGGAGAAAGGATAGGCGGGGCTGGTGGGCAGAGAGAACAAATAGGAGGAGAAAGCCAGGCTCATGGAAAGATAGAAGAAGGGGCAAAAAAAAGGAGACGGAGAGGAGGGTGCCAGGGGCCAGCCATCCAACCACACAGCCAGCCAGAGTAAGAAAGAAAGAAGAAACGTAAAAAGCCCAGAGACAAAGTGTAGTTAAAGAGAAAAGGGATAATTTAAGTTAAATAAGAAAAGCAGGTAAGAAACAAGTCAAGCTAAGGCCGGGCATTTGTAAGTAAAAATAAGTCTCTGTGTATTTATTTGGAGCCAGGTGGTGGGCCCCCAAAGTGAAAAAAAGAAGAGAAAAAAAACCTAACAAACAAAAAAACTACAGACTACTACAATTTCTTTACATAAATCCAAATTTTAAAAAAATCCTATGAATTCTGACTGTAAAATGTTTTGATTTTTATTTCTGCAACAATCTATAAAACATGACAGAAGGCATCAAAACAGTCGTATCTTGTTTTCCCTCCTACACCAGCCCCAGCTCACCCAACTACAGAGACACAAGGAGGGTGTGGGGAGGTCTAAGAACTAAGACTGCAGCCACATCCGTACCTGCGCCTCCTGCACACTGACTCTCCTCTCTTGGTCTTGTGGACCACGAGTACCTCTGCAAGTTGATCTCCTTATTAACGGGGATTTTGATTCTTCTGAAGTCAATTCAGAGGCCTCAGTGTCACTTTGGGATTCATAAGATTCACTTCCCAGTTCAGTTTCATTTCCTTTAGTCTAAAACAAATAAGAAAGACGGAGAAATTGGTTAGGCACAGTTAGACAAGGGGAATAGCTCATGAGCATCAGCATGAGGAAAATCATGAAATGTTCAAGTTTTTATGGGACAAGGCGGGGTTAAGCTGCTAGGCTTTCTCATGTGATGAAATGAAAACCGTGAAATGAAAAGGATTGCCACCAAATACAACTCTTAGGTAGCCATTTCTGTGCTGCTGGGTTTGTCAACTGGACACAAACCTAAACATCTAGGAAGCGGGAATCTTAATTAAGAAAATGCCTCTGTAAGATTGACCTTTAAGCAACTCTGTGGGGTATTTTCTTGACTTATGTTTGCATTGGGAGGACCCAGCACACAGTGCCATCCCTGGGCAGGTGGTCCTGGGTTGTATAGGAAAGCCTGAGTAAGGAGAGGGAGCAAGCCAGTAAGCAGCTTTCCTCCGGGTTCCCGCCTTGACTTCCTGGCCTGACTTCCCTGGATGATGGACTGACTATAAGCTACAGGATGGAATCTACCCTGTCCTCCCTAAGTTGTGTTGGGTCCTGCTGTTTTTTCACAGCAACAGAAAGCTAACTCAAGCAACCTTTTTCTCTGGGGCATTCAGTCGATCAAGTTTGCTTTGAACTAGTGTTATCAAAGACAATGAACTATATGCCATAATGTGAGTCACACGGGCCATTTAAATTTTTCTAGCAGCCACAACAGAAAATGTGAAAATGGTTAAAAATCAATTTAACTATATATTTAATCTAGTGAATCCAAGATATTATTGTTATCTAATTTATACATTCAACATGTAACAGTACAAAAAGCTACTGGAATATTTTGCATTTTTTAATACTAGACCTTCATAATCCCATTTGTACTTAAATATTTTGTACTTAAATATTGTACTTAAAATATTTCAAAATCCAGATTAACCAATATTTAAATGCTTAGTAGCTAGCAGCTACTACCATGGGCAGCTCATCTCTAAACCTTGTTAAACATTAATTATCCTTTTTAAGCTTCTCTCTTTCCCAGAAAAAGTATCACAAAACACTTGCCTGGTCCTGAATATCCAAAGCACTTTTCCTACTTTTCAAGATAATCAAATCAAATCATCTGTAGCATTAAGTAGTAATATGTTATTACCAATGTAATTCGGGAAGAGTCTAGAGTTCCACTGTACCTGTGTCATAACAAGTTTGAAGTAAATGCCCTTCTCTTTCATGAGCGCATCATGATTTCCTTGCTCCACAATGACACCATCATCAAACCCAGCAATGACGTCAGCATTACGAATTGTAGACAAGCGGTGAGCTATCACGATGGTGGTCCGGCCTTCTCTAGCCTGGAGAGAGAGAAACCTGGCTATGAGACATGAATAATTATATGTAAAAACTCATTCAACTTATGTTTGCTGAATGTCAGTGCTTTGACAATATAAAACCAGTAAAGCTTCAGAAAATAGTCTATTAATTCAACAAATATATGGGCATGAAGTCTCTCTTTAGCCATGGAGCTATTTATAACTGATAGCTCTGGTAAAGGAAAAAGCAGTTTTCTTCAGTGGAGTAAAATTCTGTGCATCACCCATACCGCGGGGCAGGCCCGATGCTCAGGAGAAGTCAGCCAACACAAATGGGACTCTCGTTTTGTATGTTTGTTTTAAGAGAGAGAGAAGAGAGAGAACATGAAGTTGGGTGGGTAGAAAGGTGAGAGAAGATCTGGAGGGATTGGGGTTGAGTAAAGAATATGATCAAAGCTGGGCATGGTGACACATGCCTTTAATCCCAGCACTTGAAAGGCAGAGGTAGCTGGATCTCTGAGTTCAAGACCAGCCTGATCTACAGATAGAGTTCCAGGACAGACAGGGCCGCACAGAGAAACCCTGTCTCTGAAAACAAAAGAATAACAACAACAAAGAATATGATCTAAATACACTGTATGAAATTCTCAAAGAATAAATAAAAACATAACTAGAAAATAAATAGAACTTTTTTTTTTAAGTAGAGTGCTGTGGAGAGGTAGAGACTGAAAGATACTGAGACTCATAGACCAGCCAGTGTTGCCAAATCAGTGAGCTCCAGGTTCAGTGAGAGACACTGTGTCAAAAAGTAAGGTGGAGATCAATTAAGGAAGATAGTCCATACATGTGCACACATGTTCAAGTGCAGCTATACATGCATATGCATACACACATGCACAGTCACACATATAAGAAAAAACATAAATAGTGGAATACTATTATTCTTATAATTCAGACCTTGTAAGTACAGCTCACAGACCTTATCCAGAGCGGCCTGAACCACGGCTTCACTTTCTGTGTCCAAAGCTGAGGTCGCCTCATCCAACAAAAGGATCTTGGGGTTGCGGACCAGGGCACGAGCGATGGTGATTCTCTGTTTCTGTCCCCCACTCAGCTGCGCCCCTCTCTCACCAACCAGGGTGTCAAATTTCTAATAATTAAAAAAACAAACAAAAAAAAAAAAACGGGAAAATGTAGTAAAGCAACAAACTACTTCAGTTCACATTTCAAATTGGGATGTGATCATCACTGGAGCCTCGACAGCAATACAGTCCAGTTCTACCGCTTGTAGATAGAGTGAGCGATGTAAAATCCACAGTAAACTGGATTCCTCCTCTAAGGAAGTTCTTCTGATTAACAGGAGTTTTTCACATGGATGGCATCAGGCCAGTCAGGGGTGACAGCGGACAGGCACAACTCACATGGGGCAGTTTCATGATGAAGTCATAGGCGTTGGCTTCCTTGACAGCTTTCTCAATCTCATCCATGGTGACATTTTCTCGGCCATAGCGAATGTTTTCAGCGATGGTGGTGGCAAACAACACAGGTTCCTGACTCACCACGCCAATGATTTCCCGCAGATACCTCACATTGATGGTCCTGATGTCCTGTCCGTCGATGCTGACCTGAAATAGAATGCGTGGTTTTCACTTTAGACTCATGGAGTCAGAATGATGGGCAGTGGTAACTGCTGCTGGTGCATGCCGACTCACCACGCCCTCTATGGGGTCATACAGCCTCTGCAGCAGCTGGACAGTGGTGCTTTTCCCACAGCCACTGCTGCCAACCAGGGCCACCATCTGTCCACTCTGCACCTTCAGGTTGAGGCCCTTCAAGATCTGCAAAAAAGGTGAGATGCTAATGTCAGGGCAATTCCCAGACACACAGATCTATGCGTGTTCTATGAGCTGAAAGCTGAATTCAGTACTGGGTTTAAACATATAACATAGGTGTGATTTTGTTTTACAGTATCTAAAGGAGTATCTCTATCCAACAAATTGTTGAATCACAGATTTATCACCGTACCTTAACTCCACTTCGAGATGGGTAGCTGAAGTGGACATTTTTAAATTCTAAATTTCCCATTATACTGTCTGGTTTGTGTCCCTTTGTTGAGAAGCTGTCAATGTTTGGCTCCTAAAGAGAAACATATTTTAGGCGATCACTAGGTTACAATAACTACCTGTAGGGACACTCTGTGGAGAGAGGAAGTAAAAACAAAACTGACTCGATCAGAAGAATCTTTCAAGTAGATGGATCAATGGGTGGGCAGGTCAGACTCACATTGTCAATTATCCTGAAGATTTCATAGGCTGCCCCTCTTGCGTTTGCCAAGGCTTCTATGTTTGGGGCAAGATGTCCAATACTGAAAGTCCCAGTTAATATAGAGAAGAAGACCTGAGGATGGGGACCAAAGCAAGAAATTACTTAGTGCTCAGCACAATTTTTCTCCTTTTTCCTCTAACATAACCAATTTCATTTCAAAATGACAAGAATAATTGACAGAATACTGATGAGAATAAATTGCAAGAATGGTGAGTACTAAAATATTTTGTTTATGACTAAGAGATTCAAATTTAAAACTTGGTAATCGGCTGTATTTAACCATTCCATACTATGTACATAGATCAACGTATTGTACTGTAGTCACCAAAAATAAAATATTTGTGATTCTTTGATTAAAATTAAAAAATAATGTAAATTTAAGTTTAAACACTTAATGTGCTTAGAATCTGGAATTAGTCTTACTTGCTTCATCACACGGGGTATACTTTCTATACAATCATCATATTAAATAGAAAGGTTTTTTTTTTTTCAAAGATTCAGCATTTTTACCTAGATTTTCACAAGAATAAAATGAAATAAACACAAGAAGACCAGGTCTGTACCTGGATGAGTACTGTACATCTTTAGGACATTCTCTTCAAATCTCTGGCCTTCAAGTTGACCTGCTCTGTCTAGGCTGCGCTGGATGCCACTGACTCTGCAAATGCTCTCCCAATCCTATAGCACACACCTAAGGCGTGACTCAGTGTCCCCAGTTCACCTCCCTAGACTGTGTTCTTTTTGAAGTCTAATGAGCATGTATTTGGGCTTTTGTTCTTTGTTTTATTCAAAACACTTGCTTCTTGTTACTAAAGACTCGTCTTTTCTCTCTTGGAGCTTTACAAGAACTGAGGTCACCACTCGCTTCTAAGCCAGACAGGAATATGACGGTGTAGCACGCCTAGTCTTCACGAGGACACTAAAAGCTATGGCACATGCTCTTGTCACATCTGTTTGGCAGAAGAGATAAGAGAAGCCAGAAGAGTTTAGACAAGAGCTCTGAATCACAGATCTGGTAAAGACCAGCCAGAATTTGAACCCAGTGGGTCTGGTATAAAATCCTGCATGCACTACTCGGATGTTCCTGCTTGTAAGACAGATTTGCACTCAGTGAATGGATGATGCATATTGCTCATCCAGAGCTGGGGCTGCAGCTCAAGGGTAGAGGAGCTACCTAGGCTAACATGTGTGAAGCCCAGGTTCTATATGCTGTGGGATGTCTTTCTGTATGCCGTGAATATGTGTTGCTCTGATTGGTTGATAAATAAAGCTGTATTGGCCTGTGGCAAGGCAGTTTCAACGCAGGTGGAAATCCAAGCAGACAGACAGGAAGAGAAAAGAGAGGCAGAAAGATGCCTTCCTGCTGTCTAGGGAGCAGCATGTAATGGCACACAGGTAAAGCCACAGAACACGTGACGACATATAGATTAACAGAAATGGGCTAAGTTTAGTAATAAGAGCTAGCTAGCAAGAAAACTGAGCCATAGGCCATGGCCATGCAATTTGTAATTGATATAAGCCTCTGTGTGTGTTTACTTGGGTCTGAGCTGCTGCAGGACCAGGTGGGACACAGGAAACTTCCGATATCTATATTCAGCATATGAAATAAATAACACTGTTTCTCTCTATCACAGTAAGCAGGACACAGTTCTTATTACAATCTAAGCTCTTCTACTTAGAAATATTTAACTTCTTAAAAATAAAAACTACCCTAAGGGCTGGAGAGATGTCTCATATTGCTCCTGCAAAGGACCTGAGTTCAGTTCCCAGCACCCATGTTGGGTGGTTCACAACCACCAGCTAATAACTACCTGTAACTCCAGCACCAATGGACCTGACACCTTCTTCTGGCCTCCAGTGGCACCTGTACACACATGCGTATGACACACATATATTTATACATATACATAATGAAAAATAAGATAAAATTTTAAATTACCTTAAAAACTGGAGGTGCGGGGAGCCTATTCCTAATCAAATAGCCTCATAAATGGTATTGAATGGGGTTTAAAAAAACAGAGGCAATTGGACCCTAGAATCTACAAGACCCACTCCATCACCCAAACCCACCAAACCCATCATCCTTTCCATGGCCAACCATCCCCCACAAAATCAGCAGCCCCGAGAGGCACAAGCACCACCTGCACCAATTGGAGGAAGAGCAGCCCACCCGTGAACAGCCCTCTCCAGCAACATCAGCAGATCCTATAGGCACAGGCACCACCCAGAACAGCTGGAAGAAAAAACCCACGGGCACAAGTAAAGCCCACACCAGCCAGAAGAGCTGGACAGTATGCTGGACCTAGGCACCCAAACCCCACAACCTCAGCAGAGACGACCCTATCGACCTGACAACCATCCTATCACTAGACCCGTTGGCCATTCAGGACAAAAGACAATAAAGGAAACAGACAGACAATAAAGGAGCAAAAGACTCATCCAACAAAGATATCACAAGAATCAACACTGTTCCTATAATTATCCCAAACCCAAATGGGTAAACAGCACTGTAAGAACACATTCAACAACATAAAGAGCAACATGGCACCACCAGAATCTAGTGGTTCTAAAACAACAAGACCTGAACATCCCAATGCAGATGAAGCAGAAGAAAACAACCTTAAAAACAATTTTATGAAGATTAAAGAGGTTCTTTAAGAGGAAATGAAAAATTCCCTCAAAGAAATCGAGGAAAAGATAAACAAAAAAATTGGAAGAAAACAATAAGTCCCTTAAAGAAAGCCAAGAAAAAACAATCAAACAGGTGAAGGAAATGGTTTAAGACTTGAAAATGAAAATTGAGACAATAAAGGAGACACAAACCGAGGGAATTCTAGACATGGGAAGAATGGGGAAACAAACAGGAACTACGGATGCAAACATAACCATCAGAATACAAGAGATGGGAAGAGAGAATCTCAGGTGTTGAAGATATGATAGAGGAAATAGATTCATCGGTCAAAGAAAATGTTACTTCCAATAAATTCTTAACACAAAACATCCAGGAAATCTGGAACACCATGAAAAGACCAAACCTAAAAATAGGGATAGAAGAAGGAGAATTCCAGTTCAAAGGTACAGAAAATATATTCAACAAAATCATAGAAGAATACTTTCCCAACCTAAAGAAGAACATGCTTAAGAAGGTACAAGAAGCTTACAGAACACCAAATAGACTGGACCCCTCCCCCCAGAAAAAGTCCCCTGGACATATAATAATCAAAACACTAAACATACAGAATAAAGAAAGAATATTAAGAGCTGCAAAGGAAAAAGGCCAAGTAAAATATAAAGGCAGACCTATCAGAATTGCACTCGACTTCTCAATGGAGACTCTGAAAGCCAGAAGGTCCTAGACAGATGTTATGCAGACACTAAGAGACCATGGATGCCAACCCAGACTATTATAACTTTCAATCACCATAGATGGAGAAAACAAGATATTCCAAGATAAAACCAGATTTAAACAATACCTATCCACAAATCCAGCCCTACAGAAAGTACTAGAAGGAAAACTCCAACCCAAGGAAGTTAGCTGCACCCACAAAATCACAGGCAACAGATAATCTCATATCAGCAAATCCCAAAGAAGGGACACACACACACACACACACACACACACACACACACACACACACACACTAACATCACCACCAACAAAACCAAAAATATCAGGAACTAACAATCATTGGTCATTAATATCCCTGAATATCAATGGACTCAATTCACCTATAAAAAGACACAGACTAACAGAATGGATATGAAAGCAGGATCCATCCTTCCGCTGCATACAAGAAACACACCTCTACTTCAAAGACAGACATTGCCAATCAAATGGACCTAAGAAACAAGCTGGTGTAACTTTCCTAATATCTAACAAAATAGACTTCAAACTAAAATTAATCAAAAAATATGGAGAAGGACATTTCATATTCATCACAGGAAAAAGATCCATAAGAAGTCTCAATTCTTAACATTTATGCCTCAAATACAAGGGCATTTCAGACCTGCCTGCCCCTTGGGGACCTGGCCAATATGCAGGCAGTACCTTGGCTGGCTAAGGGTCCTAACAACATCCTGCACTCATTGCTACATGGTGTTCCTGTGCATATGTGGAAGTCCCCTCATAAAAGGTGAGGCCCACCCACCTTCTCTCCTCGCCCCCCTCCCCCTCCCCATTCCCCCACCCACCCACATCCCGCAACAAGACAGCTCTTTCATCCCTCTCCCTTCCCCCTTCACCACTAATAAAACTTTCCACATGAGCACTATCTGCATGGCGGGTCTCTGTCTCTTACCTGCCATGAGGCACCTTGGCTTGAACCCACCAAGGTCCCTCTCCTGCCATTTTAAAACACAACATCTGGTGCTGTGAACTAGGCATGCTCTCCCGAAGTTCTGAGGCACACTGGGACCCAGGAACCACAACAGGCTCACCTTCCAGCTCACCCCATCGCTCAGCACCCCATCCACCAAGGCAACTGCGTAAGTTTCCCCTCAGCTGTTCTAAACACTTCCCTGATTCTCAACAGCGGTTGCAGTTCAGAGCTCTGGGTCAAGGCCAGTTGTGCAATCAGGCTGCCAGGTGAAGTATTGCCTCAGCCCCACAGAGACTGGCTCCCCAACTCCTGTGCCTCACTGAGGCCACACCTGCCCCACTGCCCGAGGGATGAGGAAGTGACCTTTGTCGGTCACCCCTCTGGTACTCCAACATGACAGGCTCTCCTCACCTGGCCCCAGCCCACCACCCTTGGAGCTGCAATCCTGCAGTTTCATTAGGCCCAACAGGACTTCCACGACCCCATTCCTGACGTTTTTCTATGGATGAGACCCCTTTAGAGCTCGGTTTTCATCCTTGCCTTCTGGCCTCTACCAAACCCTGGTACCTAGCGCCAAGTAACCTCTGGCTTAGCCAAGTCAAACATGACCCCCATTGAATGTGCTGACGACCCTCAGAATGGCATGGTCCTCATTCAAAGTCCTCTCTGAGTCCTGTGGGTGGCTGATACTACAGGCTGCAATAACCCTTTCCTTTTCCTTCTCTCATCCATGGGAACCGCGTCTTCCACACC